GTGATTGGCCCCAAATTTATTCTGCAGCAGGACAACGACCCCAAACATACAGCCAATGTCAACTATGTTCAGCGTAAAGAAGAACAAGGAGTCCTGGAAGTGATGGTTTGGCCCCCACAGAGCCCTATCTCAACATCATCGAGTCTGCCTGGGATTCCATGAAGGGACAGAAGGATTTGAGGCAGCCTACATCCACGGGAGATCTGTGGTTAGTTCTCCAAGATGTTTGGAACAACGGACAGAAGGATTTGAGGCAGCCTACATCCACGGGAGATCTGTGGTTAGTTCTCCAAGATGTTTGGAACAACCTACCTGCCGAGTTCCTTCAAAAACTCTGTGCAAGTGTACCTAGAAGAATTGATGCTGTTTTGAAGGCAAAGGATGGTCACACCAAATATTGATTTGATTTGGGTTTTTCTTCTGTTAGCTCACTTTGCATTTTGTAAATTGATAAACATAAACAATTGCAATATATATTTTTCAAAGCATTCTTACTTTACAGCATTTTTTCACACCTGCCTAAAACTTTTGCCCAGTACTGTATAGGTTTTTAATCATAGCAGTGAACTACAGATTGGAAAATATCCTCATAATAATGCAAGACTTCACTTAACCATGTGCCTTGCTATTTTATATTATACTCTCACTATAATGCTTTACAGTATACAGACTTTGTATCATCTGCTTTGTACTGCATCCTTGTCTTAATGCCTTACAAAATTCCAAAGATTGTATCAAGAGCTTATTTGTAATCTAATAGAAGGGTAGGGAGAGAAGTGAGCAAATGCATTTTTAGTTCAGCTAAATGTGGGAGACCCCTAGAAACAGTGGCTATTGAAAAGGATTTAAAGGAAAGAGAACATTGTACATATTCAGAGAGGCAGTTTGAGATACAGCAAGGGAGAATGGGTCTAATAATGTAATGGAGCAGAAGATCTTTGGAAATTAGAAGTAGATAAAGGGAAGTCACCGGCAAGAGATTGTTGTGAGCCCCCTGCAATCATTGTATGAGATAGGCGGCCACATAGGTCCTGTAAGTAAGTAAGTAAATAAATAAATAAATAAATAAATAGACGAAAAGAAAGCATGCAGTACGACTGCAGGCAGTTTTTGAAGTAAGCACAAGCTATGTCTGCAGATATTATCAGCCCTTTACAGATATAAATATATAGAGGGAGGGCCAGTTTGGTCTAGTGGTTAAGGCCCCAGGCTAGAAGACAGGAGACAGTGAGTTCTAGTCCTATCTTAGGCATGAAATCCGGCTGGGTGACTTGGGGCCAGTCACTCTGTCTCAGCCCAACTCACCTCACAGGGTTGTTGCTATGGGAAAAATAGGAGGCAGGAGAATTAGGTACTATATGTTTGCCACCTTGAGTTGAGCAAAATGTACATTTATAAAGGTGAGATAAAGTAATAACAACCACCACCTCTGGAGCACCACTTGAACACTATCAGCATTGACAAAATCACCACCAGTCAGTTACAAAAGGCAGCTTTACATGCGATGATACCTTTAACACCATCAAACAACATCTGCCTATCTCAGGTCTGTGGGAAGGACTCGATAGGTGGATAAAAATGCCAAATCCAGTCTAAATAACTGGTTGACTGTGCAACCAACAACAATAATGGAAAAAAACGTGGGCATCCCCTGGTCAGAGAAAAGGGAATTAGGAATAATTCCCTCAATAGATTTCTGGACAGAGGTAAGAAGACCACCCTGTGGAAAATAAGGGTACAGTACAGGTGGGGGATTGTGCAAATACGTAGCAGAGTTTTAGCCATGGCGGATGGATTTTCTTGATGTGGCATTAGAAGCAGAGCATGAGTGAGCAGCTGTGAATATTGGGATAGCAAGGGGAAAAACAGAATCATACTGTGTGCTGGTTACTGCCTTGGCTGTGGGAGGCAGTGTCTCCCGATGAAATGGCCAGGCG